GGGGGGGGGGATAAAATCTGAGTCGACATCGAACAGGTTCGTGCCGAAGCAAATATCACGGAATTGCTGTATGGTTCGCCGGGGGCAATTACTGCAACATATCTGAAACTGGAAAGTGATTTAAACTGTCATATGCCGGTCGAAATGAGCAGTCAGTTACACCTTCTGCTGATTATGACATCGTATAATCAGCTGTCAGGTGGATCAAGGCGAACTGCAGACTTAGAAGGCGCTTGCGTCATATAGCATGGCCAAAGATATTGCTCATTGTGTCATTCTTGAAACCAGAACACAATGTTGTCACTGTTGTTCGCAAGTCAACGACTTGTTACTAGTTTATCAGCAGGTTGCATCAAGGAAACGGCACAAATTCCGTGGAGTAGCTGTTCGTTCTGCGGAACCGAACCCAGTACGTCTGGTTAGAAGGCGACCTCTTTGCCACTGGCCCCGTTTGACAGTATTTATTGCATACAGAGAGTTGACCATCGTGAATGCCCTAACTTAACTACTGCCACTGCCATGGTCTCATCATGAAATATTTGCACTGTAATACTTGCGGGCTAATAAGCAGCACCACGTGGCAAGAGCATTCTTTTCGCTCTAGTCAAACATACAAGTTTGAATGTGCGTTCCGACTTACTGTGACGCGGTAGTATGTCCAGTGCAAAGCGGGCGCTTAAATACCAGGGAGACGTCCCCTTCGACGACTTAAACCAAGGAGCTGTGCAACAGTGCCGTATGACCCAGTGTAATGACTTCCATCCGTCTTATGTCACAGCAACAATGAGATATTAGTCTGATGTCAACAAAAATATATTTCATCATATTTGCTAGATATCATTTATACTTCTCACTTATCATATAGTACGTTGTTATTGTTGTACTTTTACAATCGTTTTATCATTTAAAGTAAAAAGTATTATTATTAACTATTCGTTATTACGAAACAGCAATAGTGTTAACTATACTACGAACGAACTCTTGAAAAGCATGCAATCCAGAACAAAGAGACCGGAAGAGATCATCCCTAAAACGTAAGTGTAAAGGGAAGAATGCATGCTTGTAAGAATGACCGATGCATCTTACTAAACTTTTGCTGAGCTTAAGCACTTGATAGACTGAAATGATTCTGTTCAGATTCGTAATTGTCATTTTTCTGGATTAGACACAACCATAACTAGTTATAATGCGCTCTGTCCACCTAGCCTACTACTGCCTCGTTATTCGACCATATCTGGGTTCATTACAAGCCCTTACAGTTGTCATACCGGGTAAAGATTATACACACAATGAAGATTAGAATATTACACACTCATCAGTTTATGAAATTTCGTTTCTCTTATGACTATTCCTTCAGCATTCTATATCAGCATGAAAAGACAAAGGTGGAGAAGCAAAAAAGAATGAACAAAAAGCAGAGCGAAGTGTAAAAGAGGCGGAAGACGAAACTGATTGCCATGGTGGAGTGTGGCGGGACGAAGTGTAACAGGTTATGTTCAAAAAACCTTCGAGGAATGACGTACACATACAAACCCACAGCAATATTAACAGGAACGATGTGAGGCAAACATGATATATTGCGGAAGTTGCTTTTGGTCAGCCGATGCATCGCGCGAAGGAACGAGGCTTAAATGTGGTTAGGTCGTAACGTAAATAACTGAGGTTTCATTCAATTAACGAAACTTAACTCATTAAAAAAACGATTCATTCCGTCAAGTCTGCATCAGCGGCTGTGACTAACCATGATTAATGTTCATCTATCAATAAGCCAATATGCTTATTCATTTTTTGAACGACCTCAGGGATCAAATGTTTCTTCTACACAAAATACGATCTGGAGACTATTTTTTACAGGATGTTCTACCATCCTTTGTTTACAGAAAATAATAAGGTAGCAAATCACCCGTACGTTTTGCAATACAATTTATAAACCCATAACTCCTCCAAAACTGTTAACTGCACAGCGATTGCTCCTAATAATTCAGGCTATTATAAAATACTAACTATTATTAAACAGTTTCAGGGATCATTTAAGGAAGCATCGGCTCGAAGATATGTGAGCAATTCTAAAGAAAGACGCATCTACTATGGTTTTACCACCAAACCCATGTTTTCAACCTCGTTTTGCAAACTAATCCATTCTAAGCAGCAACTACATAAGGGCGGTTACCAATTGCATGTTTAGAACTCATCGTTTAGTACCTTACGAAAAATCCGAAGGAATAATTCGCTCCAACACTCCGCTTTGCAATTCAACGTAGGAGAATGAGATGCATTTAGCACTGCAAATGCGCAAATGCCATGGAGCTGACATGCATTAATACCTCCTAAGCAATTAGGGCAAAGGAAAGATGCAATACGCGGTTGAAGCCGATTTTGGACGAGTTATGGACCTATTAGCATACTCATTAGTCCGGAATATACAGTTGTACGTTTGACATCTTTTGAACAGCGTTTAGAAGGGAAAACGATCAGGACTCTTAAGGTTTGGTGTGCTGAACACCCAAGAGCCATTACGAAGAATTTTGCCGAATGATATAGAAATACAGGTGTTTGATTTATGCCCGAAATACCACAAGGGACAAAAGTTATTTATCATGCAGGTGACCAAGTGAAGAAAAATTTCGAATACGCTTATTAAGGCAGTTTTTAAAGGTTTTAGCCAATCAGTCGCAAATGTAATTCTTTCCATTTCAGGACTCAGGTGAGCACGTACAATTAGCCAAGTCCATGCAGGCCATTTTTCCTTTAGAGATTAACTCGATAAAGATTCATAACGATTCGTTTTACCATTCAATACCCCCACATCTTTTGAATATTATATCCTGCATCCCGCATCTTATACCTTGTACACACTTACACATGTTTTCCTTGAAGGAACGGAAAAGATAATGCAATCGATGCGCCGAACAGCTCGGCATAATTGTCGGTTACAAGTTCATCCGATATTACCGACAACAAAGACACATGAGGCCATGTTTCTAGACTTCTTGAGTACCAAAGCTCTGGATATGAGTTACAGAGCACTCAACCCACTAAATCGTAAATATTGCCATGGATATTGGCTTTAAGGCATAATACACAAGATCCCATCCGTATTATTCATATGCACCCACTTCTCTGTTAAGCAGACAGATGTTTGAAATCTGAAACAGTTTCATAACGCTTTCTTCGGTGCCCCAAATCAAACCCTAATCCAGATCTCTATCTCATACGCAGATCTATCATAAGGCGATCAGAAATTCAGCAAATTCCACTTACCATAACCTTATCGGTCAAGGGTTCATGAGAGGCCTTCATGATCACCATAACAGTTCAGTCCAATCTACTTTATCCTACCATACGTTGATGAACATCGTTAGTGATTGTCTGCTGTCCGTGACATGTAAACGAGAATGAATCGTAGATATCATGGCTAGATAATCTTGTCATAATTAGCATAATAGCGTTTGTATTACTGATTGACGCATAACGCATAACTCATCCACACTGAGCTTTACCGTGTGATGCACCATCCTTTTGTTTCTGGTTGCCTGGCAACGGCTTCATGATAACTGAGCACTTGCAATGCCAGATAAACATCTCGCATCATATTGTTTGCTGGTGCCACATACACGCTCATTACGAATGATCGTGTAGGAGCTGGTACTCCTCATATTAGCAAGGCGGATGAAACGAACTAGCCTATGGATAATATATGAAAATGAAGAAAATATAAAACTTTTGGGTTGCGTCGATAACGAGGAAGTGGATAATCTGTTGAAGTAGTGTTCTCATATTTCACATCAGTATTCTCATCTTCATTCGTCTGAAAGGAAGATGAAGCTTACCCTGAAAACGGCCATTGAACAACAGGTCATATCTCAGCAAAATAAGTAGATATGCAAAGTCGTAAATGCAAAATACCTTGTACATACAAAGAGAAACGACGAAACGGAAAATTACAAACGTCTAACGAGAGGAAAGCAATATCCATTTCGACCAACTGACACTGGCACTCACAAAGAAGTGACTTTCGACCGTTCCTCGGGTCAATCGGTGTTCCAACCATATGGGGAATAGCGGGTTTGCAAAAGGATTGATTTCCGGACGACAGGTTGACCGAAGCCGACCAGATGGCCGCCGATGACCTTGGTCGGCATCGGCTGACCTTTCGAATTTACCTTGGCGGTGCTCATGTTGACGTTGCTCGAAACCGAGCGCTGAGCGTTGCCCAGGTAGACAACCAGAAACTTAACTTCCGGTTTCCGCCGCATTTGCACCGGTGTCGACCGTGACCGACCGAGATGAGAGTGAGTTAGATGAGGTTCTCCGGCAAAACGCCTCCTCGCAGCCCTGCTCGGCAACTATCAC